TAAAAACACACCTCAAAAAAGAAAAAAGGGCCAAAATCAATACCTTAACCCTACAACTCAAAAAAATATAAAAAGAACAGCAAAGGAGCACAAAGTCACCAGAAGAAAGGAAATAATAAAGACTAGAGCAGAAATAAACAAATCAGAAAACAGAAAAACAATTGAAAGAATCAACAAGACTAGAAGTTGGTTCTTAGAAAAGATTAATAAAATTGGTAAACCACTGGCCAAATTGACAAAAGAAAAAGAGAAGATGTAAATAATCCAAATAAGAAATGAGATGAGTTAATGTAAATAAAGATTAATGAACATTTAAAAAAATCCAATATAAGACTATCCAATCAACCTAAACTACATTTTTTCTTCTAAACAGACACCCATACTTCTTTGATGAAGGTATAGAAAAACATTTAACCTCCGGCTGGGTGTCTGTAATGGACACTAATCATCTTGTGGATATGGATATGGGTGCTTTCTCTTCAAAGTGGCACTCTAGGCCATCATTGTGGATTAGAATCACTGTGAGGGTTCTTGTCACAATGAAGTCCAGAGCTTCTGGCCAGAGACCTGTTCTTGTAGCGTTAGGAGAACAAAGGGACAGAACCCTGCAGCAGAATTAAGTGCCATCAAGCTCTGAATGACTGGGATTTTTATATTTAGCAAACCCTTATATGTTGGTCAGGAGTCCCTGGGTGGTGCAAACGGTTAAGTGCTTGAATACTAGCCAAAAGTTTGGCAGTTCAAACCTACCCAGATGTGCCTCAGAAGACAGGTCTAGCGATATGTACTTCCAAAAGGTCTCAGCCTTGAAAACCTTAAGGGGCAGTTCTACTCAGCACACGTGGAGTTGCCACGAGCTGGAATCGACTCAAAGCATTTAACAAAAATAACAATATGTTAGTCCAAAACATGGTAGAACACATGTGACTTTGCTACACTCAGTCATCTGCTTGTAAATTTTACATATATGCAAAAAAAATCCACCCTAATATGTCCGTCCTGTTAAGAGCAGTCATTGGAGTGGAAACAACTCTTACATGTTGGCATTGATAATGTAATGAGGACAGACAGCCAATGATAGTCAACGACAGCCAGTTAAGTTCTATACTCAGGAAATACACCCATACGCTATGTGGGTAGGCTTTGTCTTGTACAGTAGGTTTCTAGGTACATTTGCCTTTCTCTTGTCTCTCTTTTAAGCTCTTGATGGGTGTGAGACATGTTATGTGCCTCCATAGGTATCTACTCTGAGCATAATCTTATGCTCAGGTCCAGAATTGGGGTGGGGAGAAGAAGTAGGAAGGCTAACTTTGACCTAAGGTCTAAATTGCATTCTACAATCTAGCTTTACCACAGCAAAGATGCATTTTAACCCACATCTAACTAGCTGTGTTCATTCTCAAGTTGTATCAAGAGAAGAGAGAAGTAGTTAACACTGTTTTAACTCCATCATCAGGTATAGGTGAGGTTTAGCACCTTGCAACAAGATTTGAAGCCAGTTCTCAGAATTGGGCATTATTTCATGGTTAGACTGACAGGATAATTCGTGACCCTAAAGTTAGTAAAATGCCATTCACATGACTGAGTTTACTTTTAAAGCCTTCAGATAGTGATAAAACTTGGGATGGTAGTCAGGTGACCCGATGTTATAGAAACGAGCAATGCATAGTCTTGAAATTGATTTAGGCCTAGAAGATAGGAAGATGCACTAGTTTATTAGACTTATTATACCATCATTTACATAATGTATAATCCTCTTATAAATTTTTTTTTTTTTTGCTTATTTTTTGAAGATTTTTGTCTATAAAGAACTTCCATGAGGGGTATCCCTGGGTAACTTCCTCCTACTTCTTTCTTAGTATATAACATGGACAGCTTGAGAAGAACTAGTCCATGACACAAAGTTATGTAAATTATAATTATAGTTTAGTAATTTTCTTATGTAAGGACTACAATGGTTAATGATTAATGATCATTAAGCAGGAATGGATTAACCAGTAAGCATCGTACTACGGTTTACAGTAAGCAAGTTACATGGGCTTAATTGCGTTTAGTCACTAATCTGCAGTGAACGATTTCACAATGGTTTCACCATGTCCAAGATAAAAAACAGGTGAAATTGTGCACTACAGATTAGTAAGTAAATACAAGTAAGCCTGTGTGTACCTTGCTTACTGGGTAATCCATCCCTGTTATTAAGTAATTAATGATCTTTCAGATATTCCCTTGCTCTCTCTGTACAGTTATTGTCTTGGGGCAAAATGTTCTGTAAATTATCCTGAGTTACTAGGTTGCAGGATTCTAGGTGTACAGGATTTAACCATCTCTAGGGATTATATGGGAAAATTAGGGAGCTTTACTGTGTGTTAAAAGGGGGTCTAAAAAAAAAAAACCAAACCAAATCCGTTGCTGTCGAGTTGATTCTGACTCACAGCGACCCTAAAAGGGGGTCCAGGCAGGCTAATTTGAGAGGAAAGAGCTATCTTGCGTTCATTTCTATTGTTGATCTTTTCTAATCTTCAATTTAAAAAAAGAAAAAAGAAAATAAGTACTTGAGAAATTTTGCGTATTCTAGGAAAAAATCTCAAATGCCAAAAATTAAGCAAGATCCTTTGTCTTCACTAAATGATGATTAAATGATGCTGCTGCTCACAAATCACTTGCCAACTATGAAGCTTAAGAGCAGTTGGGGTATCCTGACTGGAGAATCCTTGAATGCTCACTCTGCAACTGGATTATGTATCTCAGGTCAGGATCTGTGCCCACCGTTATGTCCCCAAGCCTAGCCTGGTGTCTGAAACATTGAAAGAAATCAATAAATTACAATGGAATGTGCAGCTGCACACACATGTATATCCAGATTCTTCTCCACAAATATTTAAAGAAGCTAGAAAAAGAATAAGGATGTGGGTGGGGTGTTTACTGAATTTTTCTGGAAAAACATTAGGTGCTTTGAATAATAAGTTATTGAATATTATTATAGGTATGTAGCAAAATTTTCCTATTGTGTATGTTCATTACTTTTATGAATTCAAAATCATCTTATTTTTGATTATTATTATTTCCAATGAATATTTTTATTCACCCTCCCACATGAATAAATTCTTTTTTGTAGCCCTTGATTTTTCTGGAATCATTAATATTTAATTATAATTAATTAATTGTAAATCAATTACAAATCACTAATACTTTTCTGTGTTTTGAAAAGTTATGTAGTTTCCCATTGTCATTACTTATTTTCTGTTATTGATGAAGTTTATGTAAGAAAGGCGACTCAGAAACTCCCAGTTGTCAAACCATAGGGCTTTATCAAGATTGACCAATGAACGTACATTTATGTGTTTTAAGTTAAAAGTAAGAGGTGTGGTCCCCATTATAAAAACTTTTAATTAATTACTGAGCTCAAGTGCACCGGATGAAAGGGATTCTTCATGTAATTTCTTAAAGCAGCTACAAAGTAGAACTTGTTGCTTATCTCTCTCTGGGACGCCACTTTTTTCATAAAACTGTTAAGTGTTTAAACTAGCGTTGTCAATACTGGATAAAATAATGTTTCTGGAGTGGACTAGCCTTGTGATCCCGCAGTGAAAGCACTTTTCTTTCTTTAAGATTTGTTTAATCATATGGATTGTGAAGACCGGTGGGGTGAGAATGGGGAGGAATTCAGGTGTAACAAAAGAGGGATGAATAGGATATTCCTTTTTTTTTTCTTCCTCAAAGTGGTTTGGTTAATAGCTTCTGCACCATGTTGTTTAAACTACCTGCACCCCTTCACAAATAGGCATTTGATAGTTAATTGGGTTCTTGGCAGTGTGTCCCCCCTCCCAATTTCTTCACCCCTACCTACCACCCTGAACACCATGAACTTTGGGCTGGATGGACAATTTTTCAGGGTAGCCTGCTCCCAAAGAGACGGGGTTTAGTTGTATGTGTTCACCATTAGCCACAGGTCTTTCCATCACCACCTTCTTCCACGTACTCTTCCCAATAAGCCACTGTGTTTATGTGACCCTTCCCCCTCATATGAACCCTTTGATAATGACATACTATTAAAGAGTCCCCTTCTCAGATTTTCTATATGCAACAATTATTCTACAACTCTGATAACTGCCATTATGTTTTAAAATCTGGCAGGATGTGTCGTGAACACCATTTACCTTTTTTTTTCCTTCCAGACGAATTTCATCGTCATACCAACACTGTTCTAATATTGTTATAAAAACCCTGCATGTTAGTTTCTCACACATCTCTTCTATCATTTGGTTTTTCCCAACAGCTCTCTTCCGTGTGTATTTTTTTCTTCTAATGTTTTATAATTTTCTATTAATAAACCTCAAATATGCAAAGTAAAATTGGTATATAACAATAAAGTTTGTTATTGCCTTATGTTTGCAGAGTCACTATTAATTGTATGGCTTTATTTTATAGTATATGTCAAAGTTTTGCAGCTGGGGTAATTGAGTTGATTTTTTGGAGTATTCCAAGTATACAACGGCATTGCTCCATCCCCAGAGTATCCTGTGTGTCTGGGTATATAATCGATACTGGGTGGCTTGATGATGTGTCTTTTAAACCATCCCCCACCCTCCACCTTCCTGTCAGACCCCACTCTCTACCTTCCCCAGTCCCCACTCTACCCTTCCCCCCAGTCTCTACCCTCCCCTCCCAGCCCCCACCCTCCTGAACCCTTCACACTCAGCTCCGATCTTTCTCACCCTCCATCCTCTCCAGCCTCTAGCTCCCACCCTCTTGACCCCTCATTTTCCAGTTCCCACCCTCTTCATCCCCCCCACCTTCCACTCTCTTCATCCCCACCACCTCCCAGTTCCCACTGTCTCCACCCCCTATCTCCTATCCTTTTCACCCCCCATGTCCCGTCTTCTTCACCCCCTCATCCCCCACCTCCCATCCTCCTCATTCCCCCAACCCCCATCTCCCATCCTACCCACTCCTCCACCCAGTTCCCTTGATGCCGGTGGACGCAAATGATCAGGACACAGTTTGCACTTAACCACTAAATCTTTATTGAATTTTTATTATATCATAACACAATACAATTATTAGTAAGTAGAGAGAAATATTGATTAAAAAGAATACAGCAATAAAAAGAGCACAATTTGAAGGGGGTAGGGATAGGGAGATAAGACAGGGGTAGGGTAGGAGGCAAAGGGGTAGGGTAGGAGGTAAAGGGGTAGGGAGAAAAGGCAGGGGTGAGGAGGAGGGCTACTGATAGGAGCAAAAACAAAGATTCTTATTTATCACTTCCATGAATAATTACCATCCGTCATTATCAATGTCATTCTAGCAACAATTTCTCAAGGGCACCAATCCACGCTGTGACTTTCTTTCTAAAACGTTTGCTCACAACCTCGATTGCTGGAGTTAATATCCAGGGCAAAGAGGTCTCTATTAATTTCTTTATCCAATCACCTTTTAACTTTCTTTCACTAGGTTTTTTTACCATGTCCAATTAGTCCTAAGTAGGTTGATCTCCCCACGGTTCCCTCTGCATTCACTTGAAATCTTTATGGGTAACAATTACAGGGTAAAGGGTCACATATAGATACACAAGTCTAATTATAGAGATACCTAATACATAATATAATATTCTAACTTTCTAATTAATCCCACCCACTTAAGATTACTTAATAGTCCCTCCCATCACTAAAGTACTTATGATTATATATAATATCCCCTATTACTTAAACTGATTACACAAAGAAATAATAAACAATGCAAGTTTCCACAGACCTTTTTGATAGCGTTCTACAATCTCAAACAACAAAGAACTCTCTATCCCACCAGATGTGTCCTCTCTTTAAATGCAGCATGGTTCCTCTCAGGGTTCTTCATTTCTGCCCAGGTCTTTCCAGGAAGGTGTTCTCTGTTGCCAATCTTGAACGGTATCTGATGTGAGATGTCTGTGGTGGATGACAACCGGATCAATTCAGGAGCGTGAGGTACCTGCAAACTTAAAACAGAAATCCAGACTGCACCATATAGATGTGCCCTTCTTATTCTGTAAGCCACACATGATTTAATCAAACTAAATCCTCAATTTTCCAGCATCTAACACAAATACCTCATTGCTCAAACTAAACTGACCCTTCATAAATGTATGTAAAACTTTCTGTTTCAATATCCTAGCATGATGACCTTAGCTAGCTCTCTCCAGGCTTACCTAACAATGGGAGCTGTCATATCTTCTTTCTCCTTCTTGGTTTCATTAATTAACGATGAAAATGTAGGCCAACAGTCAATCAATTTTGCCAGTTTGTTTCAAAGAACCAACTACTGGTTTTGCTTAGTAATTCTGATGTTTTGATTTCTCTCTTTTATGCTTTTATTTTGCTCCCTTTTAAAACTTCTTTAGATAGAGATTAAATTCCTTTGCTTTTTTCTTTCTTATGAAAAAAGGCATTTTGTTGGGAAATGCCAAAAATTTTTTTTAAACAATCCAATTAACTTAAAGTGATAAGTAACTTAATTTGATCAATAAATCAATTGAATGAAAGGAAACTTATTCAAATTGAGATACTAAAGTACAAGAAATTTAAGATTACTTATCCTTAACATCTACATTAATAGAGTATGTATCGCAATAGAGCATAGTACACACTGCCAAGAAGTAAGTCACAAGCTTTAGAAAACAGCCAAACTTGCATCAGGGACTTCGTCAGTGAGTTGTGAACCCACACCAGCATGCTCTCCCTGACCATTTTTGTTGCTGATCAGACTTTTGCTTTCTGTGGTGGCAAATGTCCATGTGCACATGCCAGGGCTACAGACAATGGCCCGTTTCTAGGCCCTCTGCAGCTTGAAGATCAATTGACAACTGTAAATTTGACACAGAACAATGTGATTTCAAATGTATGGAGGATGGATTGGTATCCGAGGTAAACTGAAGTGTCGCTTCAAAAGAGTCCAGAAGCACAAATGCACCATTTTCAAAGTAATTACACTAAAACACAAGCGACTGACAAGCTTTCAAAGAAAAAAAAATGTTGTTTTGGATCAAATAAGTAGCTAATTAGGTATCTTCCTTGAAATTGTATGTCCTTTTGTGTGATTTTTAGAAATCCAATCAATAAAACTGAAATGATGTTAAAATTGAAGAATGAACAGGATGAATATACTCCAGTTTGTAGGAGCCTCTCATTCACAGTGTTGTAAAAGAAGTTCACAGTAAAGAAACATTTTATACTACGTTACTTATCATTGTCACTAAAATCAAATGGTACTTTGCTATTCAATGGAAATAAATTTTGAAAGTACAGTCACCATTTTTAAACACTGTGAAAGGATACTACTAACCTACAGCTAAAAATTTTAAGTATTTTAACATGCAAGAATAAGGGTAGGTAATAATGAAAAAGTGAAAGATGATGCTGATGGAAAACGAAACTTCACCATTAGACTCCACTTCATGTTAGACAATTTGAAATATACATCATGTTGTTTTCTACTGCTCAAACTGTGTTTTGGCAATTGGAGATTTGTGTGTTGAAGCACATGCTCCTTGAAGCCTGCCTCTTTCTTCTCCGTGCGTGGCCGCAAAATGGAGTCTTAGCAACCAAGGCAGGACGGACGACACAAATCCTGCAGTAGGGTTAATGGCAGTAGTAAAGGATTAAACAGAAAGAGAGAAGTTAGACAAACAGTTCAAGGTAGTAGCAAGGGACCAGGCTAAAGGAAGTCAGGCAGTCCCAGGTTAGAACAAAGCAGCCAAAGTGATACCAGAAGGTATCACTGGATTGAGGACAACATTGTGTTGTCTGTAGCTTTGAGATGGTTTTAGAGGCCTTTCATCCACTGGCAGCTTAATGCTGGTTCCGTCTCCCGGAGGGGCCCTTTTCCATTAAGTGGACTCCGATTCCTTTGCAGTGGTTATCCATCTAGACCTGGAAGAAAGGTCAGGTCATGCAGCTGGATTTGAAATTCATCAAAGAAGTCCATATCCTTCAGACAGTGTCAAGTGCCCTAACCTACTCTTCTTCAGAGATCCCTCCCAGGCATAGGAGTGTGGGCCTGGGTACTAAAATCATTTCCCCTCTCTAAGCATCCAAGTGCTATAATCCAATGAAGGGACTGATGATGAAATGCCCAGATACATATGAGGGCAGAGACGTGGACAAATGCTTTCAAGACTTTCAGGTGGTAGCTTTTCCAGCCAATTAACAATGCTCAGGAACAATCTTTCTGTACCATCAGGACAAGTTGGTAACATTAACTCAGTCTCTTTTAAGAGTTGGGTATGGGATTTAGGAGTCCTTTTGACTTGTTACTCTTAGCCCTGGCACATGGTGGAGAGATGGTCACAACATTTCACAAATATCTAACACACCTGGAGCCACCAATAGTCTCTGGTCACCAGGTTCAATGTTTTGTGGGAGCCATTACTGGCGTGACGATGGCAAGGTGTTGTGAGAAAGCCAGAGTTCTTGGGTACATGTGATTTGCACCAGGATGTGAAGGCACACCCTTACCATGCAATAATCCGTCTGAGAGGGCACTTCTTTCTCAGGCCTGAGGTGTGACGTGTGGCAGGGTTTTGCCTGCTCCTGGGAGAACTGGTCGAGTTGCTGCTCCTTGAGAATTAACGGAACCATGAAAGTGGAGTTTGAAGATGGTGAAGATTCTAAGGGTGCAGCAAGAGGATCATGGAAGTCGTTTCACACTGCACCAATAATTGTGGCCTCCTTGATAAGGCGCCGATCCTCCAGAAATGTGTGGAGAGTACCAAGACTGCAAGAAAAGTCACGTCCTCTTCCTCTTTTTCTCCCCCCCTCCATAAAGAAAACAGCTTTTCCTGTGTTTGCATCAGCTTCTCTGTAAATGTTTAACAGGACTCTGGTAGCCTACAATTCAGATGGTGACAAAGAGGTTTCAGCAAGTAAAATCCAGGCTGGCTTCCAGGATTCGCTGGAAAGTAAACTTTTTAAAAGTATTTTAGTGAGCTTGGCAGTCAAGGTGGAAAACTGGGAGATACTTTGTTGGTAAATGTTCTGTTGCTCCCAGAAAATACCGAAGGTCTTTTGGTGCTTTAGGGTGTGTGCCAGTCCAGGTGGCCTTGACCTTCTGTAGCTGTCTCAGAGAAGATGTGCCTCAAGTTTGGCCTGAAGCTACCATAGTCCAATTTAGCACACAGTCAGTGGTTGAGAAGCTGAAGAGGAATAAATCTTGAGGGTGGAGATTCTGAAGGACATGACGGGTATTTACATGGTGCTGTAAGATGGTGGCGGAGGCGGCGGTGGTGGCGGCGGCGGGTACTGAGGTACCGGAGGCTGGCGGTACCAATGTGGATTCCAAGTGATCATAACAGGTACATATAATGACCGCCCATGCCCATCTCTTCCCACTGGGTACCAGGCGAATCCTACTGGGTAGGTCGGGTATGTTGCATAGGTGGGGTATGCTTGGTATGCAGGTACTTGTGGTACATATTCAACATATGATGCCAGGTGAGCTTGGTCATCTAAATTTGGAATAGACAGTCGAGGATACTGATTCTGGATGGTGAAATTGTTGGGAGCTCGACAATCGTAAGAAACTTGCAGCTTCCATCCCCTTTTCACTTGGAGAACTTGAGCTCCATTTGGTGCGATGGTTGGAGTAATTAGCCCATCTTTCACATTTCTTGCCACAAAATCTCGAAGAGCAGCCATTTCAGGTTCAGACAGTGAGTAAATATGTCCACTTGGAATGCTGTGTGCTCCTGGTATCATGTCTACACTGCAGTCAGCCACGTGGTTGTCTGGGTAAACATTTTCATCTACTGGAGTGTACACATTCTGGACATAATAATACCTCACTGGTTGGTAAACTCTGTATCCATCCACCGGGTAATAAATTGACGGCTGTGGTGCTGGTGGAGGCGATGGTGGTAGTGGAGAATACATCCGGCAGTGATATCGGCAATATTCAGAATCAAAGACGATTGATCGGGTGCTCCATGTAATGTTGGGATCATGTATGCTCAGCCAACGAACCCCTAGGACTATGGGGAAGAATGGAGACTGAGTCACATCGAATGACAGCACCTCGCGGTGATCTCCCAGGTCAACTATCAGGTCGTGTGTTTCGTGGACCACTGGGCCTGATGCTATGGGGCGGCCATCAATTGCTTCTACAAGTATTGGCCAATCCTTTACTCGCAGAGGAATTCCATTCTGAGCAACATATTCGTGATCAATGAAGTTGCCAGAAGCACCAGAATCAATCATGGCTCGGACAAACAAGGTGTGTCTGCCTGGAAGATGAATCTGGAGCATCACCTGCAAGTGTGGAGTTGAAATTTCATCTCGTGGGGACCTTATTCTTTCTGGCCCGGTCGCTGATGGTCCCTCTACAGCGGGGCCGGGGAGTTTCCCGCCGGTGAAGCCTTTGAGGCCTTGGCAGGACAGCTGTCGGCGTAGTGACCTCCTGTTCCACAGTAGAGACAGAGGTTCAGCTTTCTGCGCCTTTCTTTTTCTTCCTGGGTCAGGCGCATGCGGGCACCTCCCACAGGCTCGGTTGGATCTACCTGGTGGTGGCCTGAAGAGTGAGGCAGCATCAGCGCACGGGGCGGGGAGCGTGGCTTCCGAGCTGCAGCCGCCCTGGCCAGCCTTCTTTCAATGTGGATGCACTGGCCGATCAGGGCAGGCAGCGACTTGGCAACTTCCAGGCGGGACAGCTCCTCCTGAATGTGGTCACTGAGGCCCTCATGGTACTGGTCAATCAGCGCAGGCTCGTTCCAATCCAGGTCCTGGGCAATCATCTGGAAAGCGTTGGAATAGTCGATGACTGACCCCATGCCTTGGCGCAGACGTCGGATCTTGCGCTTGGCAGCCTCTCGCCTCTGAGGGTCTTCAAAGACGTGCTTCATTTCTATCATGAAGGCTGGGTAGTTGTGCATCAGGTAATTGGACTGCTCCAGCTTTGCAGAGGCCCAGCGGGCGGCACGGCCGGTCATCATGCTGGTCACGAAGCAGACGCGGACGCGATCCACTGAGAAATCTCTGGTGCTCTTTTCCATGAAGAGCTGGCACTGGGCCATGAAAGGAGCCAACATGTCAGGGTTGCCATCAAATTTCTCGGGTAGGTCATCGGGGCACTCTTCCTCGCAGGGAGGAGGTGGGGCAGCAGCCGCTGCAGCACCACAGAGCTCGAGGTCATCCTCCTCAGCCTGAGGGGCGGGCTCCACCTGCTCGCGCAGAGACGTGTTCTCCTCTGTGAGCTTCTGCACCTGGTTCTGCAGGTTGTTGTTCTCCTCGGACTGCTTCATGACCTTCTCTCTTAGGGAATTGATCTCTTCAGAGAGATCGTCTCTCTTTCGCTCCGACAGGTTGGCGTTGTACTGGCCCTTTTGGCCGCTGTGTTTGGAGGAAGAGGAGGAGGGGTGGTTGGGGGGGGGAGGAGGAGGAGGAGGTGGGCAGTCGGGCCCCAGGTTGAGAGTTGGGGTGGGAGGAGACCTCCCAGGTGTAGCTTCACTGTGGTGAGACTGGGGGCCTGGATCCTGGCCGCTTCTTCCACCCTTCCTTCTTCTTGTTTTCAAAAGCCGTTTATTCCTGTAAATGAAAATAAAAGCATAAACTTAACATGTCCATTCAGAGTAGTAAACTATAAAGGATTTAGTATGTAAAATATCTCTTTGCTCTACTTGCTTATATTAATTAAAAAAAAGAAAAACCTACCAAAATAAAAGAGAAGTTAATCAGTTAGGACAACAGGAACAAAAAGCACTTTACTTTTTTGATATCCAAGTACCCCTTTCCCTCCTCAAAAGTCACCTGTCATATGGTTCAACAATACATAACTATATTAACAGCATCCTTACCTTCATGAACTATAAAAGAATGCTGAGACACCCCCTAAAGTTTTACACTGAGCAAAAAAGCAAGAAACTTTCAAGGCAAGTATGATTAAATCACACAAAATAAAGCCAAAATGATAATGAAAATTGCTAACCTTCCAACCAACAGGCAACAACAAAAAAAGAGTTGCGGGGGGTATTAAAATCACAGTACTAATAGTTAGCTCTGTGGTGGGGGGGAAAAGGGGGGGACAGGAGTAGGTGGGGTAGGGGAGCATCTGCCACATCCCTGGTCCACCTCTACAGAGTTATCAAAACAAAACTACCACCACCACAACCACAAAAACTGCACTTAAGATATTTTAAATTTCTAATGGTCTCTTAATGAGCCTCAAATTCTCATATTGGGAAACTCTCGGAGATTGTTCAAAAGTTAAAACAAAGTTTAACATAATATACAAAAAGCACGGTAGATTGGCTAGCCTGGTCCCCTAGCCCTTTCTAACCCATCAAGGCAAAGATAAACACCAAATAAATTATACAAAATAAAGCCAAAAAAAAAACTCAAAAACCTAAACATTTGTTATTAAGAGAAGTTGGGTGAAAAATAGCTATTATCACAACCAATAGGGAACAAAAAAAAAGGAGGGGGTAATAAAACACAACGCGTGTAATCATTCGCCCTAGAGAAGTGGCCCCCCCCCAACACCCCTTCCACTTAATGGCTTTAATAACTTAGGCTACAAACACAATGAATGATTGACATTCAAGATAAAATATTCAAGTCTAGAAAAAAATTAAAACACACAATTAACACATAATCTGTGACATTTAGTCTCATTTCCAACTCCTTAAAAACCACTGTATTGGTAACACAATCTAAGGTCATAAAACAATGCAATTTTTATTTATTAAATTAAGAATTTTAATGTCCCATTAAAAAACAACTAATAAGCATAGGCCAAGTGACTAATGTGTCACTTCTGTCATGTAGATATTTTAATACATTCAAAACACAGTGTCAAAACTTCAAAACTTCCTAAAGGGCAATCACAGCATGTTCAGGGGCAGCCAGTCCCGGGTCAGGAAGGTCAGCATACATGTCAATCACAGCCACTAGTTGGAGGGTGAGGGGGATAGGAGGCTTTTTCTGGCCCAGGCCTGATGGTTTTACCATGTACAAAAAACAATGATGGACATTAGGAAATCAGCAAATAATCACTATATTATTTAGGGAAACAAAAGATCAATAAGTGTTGAAAATTCAAATGCTTTTGATATATAGGAAGGTAATTTAACACTGAGAAGAAACTTAGGTTAAGACAATAGGGAGGGGCTTCAACTATGTAATTCAGGGATATATGCCCCCACCAAAGACATTCAATTTTTTTTTTTTTTTTTAAAAACACAGTGCTGGTCAAACAAATTCAGGGCCTACAAGGTCACCAGTTTGAAACCCCTCGTCTTTACCAATTATCAGGCAGCACAACCCCACCTGGGGGTTTGTAATTTTGAGGTGGGACACTTCTAAGTCCTAAAAGAGATAATTGCCCAGAGCAGTTTAACTGTTAAAAGTAATAGGGTACTGGGCAGGCACATTAACAAGGCATTACAACTGTAAATAAAATTTAAAAACGTTTTAAACAGCACTGGGGCACGAGTTGGTGGCGGGTGTGGGGGAGGGTTGGGGGAGAGGGGACTAGGAGCAGTTTGATCTGATTTGAGTTACAGAACTATGGCTCCTTAAACTCCCCCTTAGTAGTGGCTGGATTGGGGAGGTAGGGTCAAGTGGCCCCATTCCTGAAAATTCAAAGGACACACAGCATAAAGCCAAGCTACCTGGGACAGACGCCATGTTTACATATGGTAAAGATTTCAGTTTTAGTTTGTGTAGTAATTAAATGCATTTGATTAATCTTTGCTTCTTCACAAAAAGTTCTCCAGACAATGACTTCTACAAACTTCTATTCCCCACACACCAAAAAACAATAGTAGCCAAAAATTGCCACGCATGTGCATAATGTCCCATTAAGAAATAACATTTCATTAAGCAGTTATTAGTTTTCATTTTCACACCCTGTCCACATTTCTTTGAGTATTATCTATACTATTGTGAAATGTAAATTCTATTAATATGTGCATGTTTTTGCCATTGTTTTGGACCTTTTTAAATTACAGATATACAATTTCCATAGAGGAGGGGCTCAGGGTGGCAAGGTCCTTAAAGCAGGGCTGCAGACTTGCTTGTCATTAAGGTAAGCACACGATTGTATAATTGTTTGGGGTGGCTGGGCGGGGGGGAATGACAGAGACTCTGGGGAGCCAAGGCCCCCAGTTCCCCCCTTACAATGGTCCTGGCTCATGGTTTGTAATTTATGAAGCCAGGTTTTAAAATTTCTTCATTCAGTTAGAAGAATAATTTTTAAGTGGTGCATGTGATTGGCAGTAAGTTATGAATTCATTTATACAGATGGGCCAGGCCTTAATAATGCCAGTGAAAACACCTAATATATATTTTATAATGTAAACACTTTACATTACACAAAATCTAAATAACAATATATACCATTAAATAATGCCCTTGCTCCAAATTTAAATGAGCTTTTCCTTTCTATTAGAAAAGTATATTATCTTGAATAATTATAATTGTTTTATATTATAATTACAGGTTACATTACTTAAGTTTAAAAACGCGTAATTTTTTTTTTTAAGATCTTGTTAAATGTGAGATAAAGCGAGCAATGCAACCGAGGACAGCAAAACACCTTATGAAATAGACACAAGCAAGAAACTATAAAAACACCTGCCGATACCAAGCAAGACACCAAATAAAACAATTTCCTCTGGTCACTTAACACGTTTTTTAATGAATGCCTACCATGTGCCAACCAAAATTTATTGTCTGTAGGCAAGTTAGCCAAGGCTAATTCCTTAGAAGTTTAAAAAAAAAAGAAACGAGCTTCATGGGCAACGCCTCATCCTCACACTCGCTCAGAAGCCAAGCCAGCAACACCAGTGCACCACTTAATAAAACGCCTATGAAACACAGTTTAAATTGTTCCTTATTTTGTATCCACCGAAGCATACAATTCCATTAGGTCTCACCACAAAGGTCCACTAGTGTCTCAAATTAAAAACACTTTAAAAGTAAATTATTTTAAAAACTGTTTTTCATTTGGAATAGTAAAAACATTGGGCTGGATAGCCTTCAGGCGCATGTCAGCTTATGAGTCCTTCATAACCCACTATCATTAGTTTAAATTATGAGATTATGTTAATATATGCAAAGCACTTATAAAAAGAAATTTATAAGTGTCAGGTAATTATTATTGTTGTTAATTATTCTTATTATTCATATATTTATTTGACACTAGTGGATAAAAAGCAAAACCAGCACAGCAGAGAAACTGCAGGAAGGCGGGGCTGTGCAGCCAGGCTCAGGCAGGGGAAGTGCGCATGCGCACATGACGCCGGGCCTGAACGGAGGGACTGGGGGGGCTCTGCCTGTGCAGGCGGGTTCTGCGGAGGCGGGGCAGTTCAGAGGAGGTGGGGCCCAGGGAGGGGCCAAGCTCTGGAGAGGCGGGGTCTGGGCAGACCACCTCAGAGGAGGCGGACTTTGAGGCAGAGTCTGGGTAGGCGGGCTCCAATGGGCCAGAGCAGGGGCGGGCTGGGAGGCGGGGCCTGGGGAGGCGCGCTCTGGGAAGGCGCGCTGCAGGGGAGGCGCGCTCTGAGTAGGCGCTGCGGGAGGGAGGCGCTAAGAGCGCTCTGAGCAGAAGCTGCAGAGAAGGCGCGCTAGAGTGGGCGGGGCGGGTCTGAGACTGGCTGCTGAGGGCTGCAGAGTATCTGCTGGCCACTCCCAGGGTCCCCCCTCCCAAAACCCCTCCCACCAGACTCCGACAGCCAGATTCATTTCTTGCCGCAAGAGCAATCACCCCCACATCCAAGTCTACCCTCCGATATTCAGCAAACCAACAGTTCCAACAGTTTCCACAAACTGTTGCTGAATGCCAATCCACACTAGCAGCCAGCACTACAACTATAACCGCCACCTCAATCAAGCTCAACTAGGCAGGCAGCCCACTCTGCCGCTGCCAAAAGATTCTCTTTCACACTCAAGTCAGAGCCCCTCCATTCCACTGCTATAGCAGGAATGGTGTGGAGAGAATGTTAAGCACTATTTTTTGCCCAGGGCTCCATTTTGTCTAATAGCACCATCATGAAGAGAACGATCCTGCAAAAAAATATAGTGGGAGCCATTCCAAAAGGTGTGTTAGAAACAAAGGGTGGGGTCTCTAAGAACACAGAGTAATCTCACTCTGCTGCTCATGTCCCTCTACAGCTGATTTATTTGTAGCGCTTATCAGTCTGCAGCTTGTGTACCTCTGCAGCTATCATTTTGTAGCATTTTAGGTGTAAGTTGCTCAGCAGCTAATGCACCTCTGCAGTGCATACGATTTGTAGCGCAATGAAGCGCTTTTGTAGTGCTAATCTTTTGCAGCTCAGATTTTGCAGCGCATTTAAAGCACAAATCAGGCTTCACTCTCCAGCTCGAGTATCTCTGCAGTTCATACGGGTTTATAGCGCAATTGAAGCGCTTTTGTAGCAAATCAGTTTTTTCTGCTTTTAATAGTTTATAGCACACGAGAAGTGTATCAGTGTGCACCGCACTGGAAACGCTGATCAGTTTGTAGCGCACTGGAGGCGCCCGTCAGTTTGCAGCGCATTGGGGGCGCCCGTCAGTTTGTAGCGCATTGGAGGCGCCCATCAGTTTGTAGCGCATTGAAGGCGCTTATCAAGTTACAGCGCATTGAAGCGCTTATTAGTTTGACGCGCATTTGTACAGCAAATCGGTCTGTAGCTCATGTTTGTCTGCAGCTCATGTCTGTTTGCAGCTCATATTCGTCTACAGCCCGTATCTAGACTTGGGTCCTGGAAACCAAAGCCCTGAAGGCTTGGTTTCCCCATTTTACTTTGTGGTACAGCCATGAAGGCGTGACAAGATTTGCGTGGAGACATTCAGGGGCGTTACTCCATCTCCCGCAGCTCCCGATAAAGAATGGGGGAATGAATGTGATCTTAAAAATAAAAACATCCTCACCGCATACTCACCACGCGAGGACCTCTCTGCGAAGACAGGAAGGACGGGTCCCACACCAGTGCCAGGCGTGGGCTCCGCTGGGTGCTCTGCAGCCCGGAGTGGCTCCGGACGCGAGCCCGCTCAGCGGACCTTTCGCGAGGCTCGGTGGACCCTTTCCGCTGTTCTCCCCAGAGCGCAGTCAGGTTTCTTCGACACACACCAACCGAAGTTGAAGCGCGTGTACCGGGAGTGCCGGCTAGGTGCCTTATATAGGCTGAAGAGAGGTGGGGGGCGCCAAATCCCAGCGTGCTCCGCGGGTTGGGGGGCGGAGGGGAGTGGGGGTGGGGAAGTGGGGGAGGGGGTGATGGTCACGCTACAGTGGCCCGCCACTAGAGGGAGTAAGGGATCAGGGAGGGGGTGCAGGATGCTGATGCTGAACAGGCCAAGCTGGAAGGAAAGAAGAAAGGGAGGGGAGGGAAGAATCGAGGACTGACGGCCTAGCCAGGCCAAGAATGCAATTGCCCCCGTGGTGGGAGCTGGAAGACCCTTGTGCTTGGACGGGACAGGGTCGGGGGACACGCAGGATGAGCCCCGCGACCACTGGCACCTTCTTGCTGACAGGTTAGTGGCCCGCGCGCGACAGGAGGTCCCGAGGCCAATAGGCCGCTGCCTCCCCTCCCCCGCCCTGGTTCTGAGTACTTGGGCGCGCCCTCTGAGCGCCAGCCCCTGTTGCTGCCCCGACCCCACTGCACCCCTTCTCCAGGACGCCCCGCACCCTACTTCTTGGGCCCTGCGTGTCCTTCCTTAGGCTTGACCCCTGGCCTTTTCTTTTTCTCCGTGCCCCCGCACTCCCCTCCCCACCCACCGCGCACAGAAATTCCACCTTCAATTTCTATTCCCAACACCACCATCCCCCACCTCGCCCGGCCGGGGAGCACTCCCGGGCCCGCAGGAGAGAACTAGGGGTCATTTCTCAATTTCCTGGGGGGCCCGTTACCCTGCGATCGGGGCTTTGTGGCCCCGAGGCGAGCTATGAGAAATGGGTGTCAAGCTGCGTCCCTCTTTACACAAACATCTTTTCTCCTTTTCTTGAATCTGATCGGGAGAGAACACTAAAATGTGACACGTGAAACACCTAATTCCTTTCTCTTCCTAAACGCATTTCTCGGCGGCGGCAATCCGCCGTTTTTCTTAGGTTTTACCGAGCAGGGAACCTGAATCCAGAAGTGCTGGGAGCTAAACGGCGTTCAGGTCAGGGTTAACCTCGGCTGGGGGTCAGAGACGCTGCAGACAGCTTCGTTTGCCCTACCGAGTGCACTATGTAGAGAAAGCAAAAACAATTAAAAACAGCTGTGGATGCCTCCAATGTGGTTGGCGGGCTTCAGAGGCTCCCAGCTCCAGGCTTTTAGTGGTGATTAGGAGATTTACGCAGAGACTTCACTCTCCCTGCAACGTTACATTTTTCTAAAATTGTAGAGTGAAAGAATGCATTTAGCCACGGCAACCGCCCGTCTAATCTTCTCAGGCATGTCGCTGAGATTCGGCTACATATATTTGAGTGTATTTGTAGATATAAACGTACATATTTTATGTTAGGGAAAATTGCCATGGGTTATAAGGCTCAAATACTGATGAGGAAGGATGCGAAAAACACTTAACGCGCATTTCCATTTGTGCGCTTCAAAGTGTTAGGCGCTGAGAAAACTGACAATCTGTTGATAATCTTGGTAAAAGAAGTTAAAATGGAAAACCAAATTGTCTCCAGTTGAGTGAGCGTCCTGAAACACGGATGAAACACGTTCGTGTTTGAAGGCTAAAATTGGGCATATCTTAGTGACATTACTACGTATTATTTTATAATATTGAGGATAAATAAGAATTCGACCCATTGTAGGTAATGACAGAGTGGCGGGGGTCGCACTTAAAGCGTGCCTTTCTGGGAATAAACAAAATTATAGCACATTTTTAATTGAGAATTTACTTTTTATTAGGAATAAAATGTTGACCATCAGAAATATGAATGAATGAAGTGCAGATTTCCAGCAATGAAAAACATTTTTTCTATTAAGTTGGGTGAGCACAATTACAATTTTTAGAAGTGCCTTTTAATTTAATCTTTAGGATGGTCACCCTCTTCTGAAAGAGAGTAATTCCAGGACTTTTTATGTATGATAGAGTACTGTTCTGGTGACAGGACTGTCAAATCCTTAGCAATTGTTTTTTTTAATCCAGAAAAGTTACTTCACCTAGTTAGCTGAAAGAGTTTTTTTTTTTCTAAAAAGTAATATTAAAAACCAGTGTAGATGAATAGTAGGGAAAATTCAAGTTTAAAAATCTATTCCAAGACTTTTAAAGTTTGAACAAGTTTGTACAAATTTTATTTTTTAATTTCAAAATATTAACCAGGCTTTTCTTTTAAAAAAAACTTAATTGTTTTCGTCATTGTAAAAGTAATACTTACCCGTTGTACAAAATTCAGGGAACAAAAAACCCCAGAAAACTATAAAGAAGAAAGTCTTGATCACCCGTAACCTTATCACCCTGACATAACCCCAGTAAACATTTTGGAGTCTACTTTTTCAAAGTTCTCTATGCATGTAAATGTACTTAAGTAATATGTATTTCTTATAGTTAGTATCACATATGTATAATTTCTGAAAATAAAAATGAAGTTAAATTCTCAATTATTTTCCAAGGAGTCTTAAATGTCAAAAAACATTAAATTTGCAGAGTTTTTTTAAAAAAGCAAATACTAAATTCATTAATTTTTCTAATTTAAATTTTAAGTGAACAGCCTTAATACATAAATATTTAAAAACAGAGAATTGAGAAGAATTACACTGATCTCACTATTCTAACATTCACATAGTTATCATTTAGGTGTATTTCCTTGTGCTTTTTATTCTGCATGTGAAAAAATTTCCACTTTGCTTAGAAATATGATTTTCTAAGAAAAAGAAACATCAATAGATAAGTGTTTTAGATAAAACTTTTTTTGGTTATCTAAAACATCAAAACAATATTAAAAACAAAATCACAACATTAATAGACAAATACTTTATTTAGATAACATTTTTGTGTTATCTAAAACAGCAAAACAACATTAAAAATCAAAACCAAAAACAAACAAAAAACCCATTAATACACAATACTTTAGGTAAATACTTTTTTTGACATTTAGTATCATAACTGAATTTTGGATTTTCTCAGATGTTTATTCTTGATGTAGAATATTTCTTACTCATTTTGCACACGCTTATAGGCAAACATAAAGAGGTGCTGATATACATTATCAAATAATAACGATTTTGTATTTGGACATTTTATCCATTTTTTGTAAGAGTTTGCTGTGGATCTGTGAAGCTGTTGATTCACCTCATGTATTTAGTTTAACTTTTAGTGTGGTGGGAAAATTAATTGTATTTCTAAGCAAAGTGGAATTTTCACTTGTCAAATAATAACTAGGCATTCTGTTTGGATGCTTACCTGTTTTAGGCAATATGCCATACATCCCTCTGAAACTGTTGATTTACCTTGTATTTAGCTTAACTCCTAGGATGGTGGGAAAATTGTATTTCCAAACGAAGTGGAATTTTCACTTGTCAAATAATAACTGGACTTTTCTATTTGAACATTTTATTCAGTTTTAATGACAGTTAGCTCTGGATCTATGAAGCTGCTGATATACCATATGTATTTGGGTTAACTTCTATTACGATAGAGAAAATTTATTTCTAAGCAGAGTAGAATTTTCAGTTGTCAGATAGTAACTGGACTTTATATATGATCTCTTCCTCCATTTTTATAACAGTTTATCATAAATTTAAAAAACTGTTGATTTACCTTATATATTTAGCTTAATTTCTAGTGAGGTAGACAATTGTATTTTTAAGTAAAGTGGAATTTTCACTTGTCTTACAGACATTGAAAATAGCAAGACAACACCAGAGAAAACTAATGATAGATAGACTGGGAAAGATAAAGATAATATGTATCTAGTTTCTAACACTAGTTTTATTTCTGATAAAAATGCTGTAAGCAAAATGCTGTAAGCAAAATGCTGAAGTTCTGAAGAAACCCAGACTTGTTAGACATTCTCAAGTCAAATATTCAGATTATTTGGTATTCCATTTCGTGCAGTGTTTACAGATCACGTTTTCTCCAAAATAACCAGCCACTTTGGGGTTTTGTTTTTCTTTTTCACTAATTGTCCACACTTCCTCTACCTGACCCCATTTCTTAAAACTTACCCTTATATATTCCCTGTTCGAGACACCAAAATGCAAATTCTATCACTGATCTTCCTTCCTACTCAGGGTAAAAGCAATTCTAGGTGAGTAGATGCTTTAAGTTTATGTGTCCGTTAGAGATTTTTGGGCTAAAGAGATCCCCTTTACACTTAGCTCCGTTTCAACCCGTAGTTTCACAGAAGTATTGACGTGGTGACATTTTTCTTTCCATGCTTTCCCAACCTCTTCAACAGAGACAGACAGACAGACAGCAGACAGACATGGATGGACATGCGCGCGCGCGCACACACCCCCCACATCCAGGCTTTTTCTAAACTTTATGGTCTAGTTCTCCAGTCTGCTGTCTCCCCGATTTGCAGAAATATCAACCTTAAAAAAGCAATGAAATTTTCAAAAAAGATAAAAATAAATTGGTGGGCACTGAGGATTAACAAACGGGTTCATTCAACAAGTCTTTTCAAATGAAAATTTTCTGGTTGGGATTTTCAGGTTGGTCAGATCAGATAATCTTGATGTTCTTCTGGTTATTTCACATGAGCTGCCTCCAAGCAAAATTCTCTCTAAGCAAAATTTCTAGTGTTTTAAAAAAATTTAGCAATGTGACTATATTAAAGACAGTATTAATAAAGAAAAAGGAATCTCTATAGTATGACATGATGGCAAACATTTCCACTGCTGTTCTTCTCTTTTAGTCTGTTTCGTGTGTTTACATATATCTATGTAGCTGTAATTTTAATATGTTTAATTTTTTTTATACTTTGGAAAGATAAGTGAGTCTTATTTTTAGGGGAGCATTTGTCAAGGATGCTGGATACCTCTGTGTGTAGACTATTCAGCAGGACTGCTGTGTAAGTGTGAGGCTAGCCGAACCAGCACCCGCCAAGGTGTGTGGGCCACTGAGTTTGGGTCAGGAAGCAGTTCCTGATGGAGGGTCAAAACCCTTTCCTCTTCACCTTCTCTTATTCAACATTTTTATGAATGACTTTGATGGAGATCTAGGAGACTGGCTTTAAAATCCATGGATGACTTGGAAAGGGATAGCTGTTAGAAATAGATAACAGAATTTAGAGTTAACACAGTTTAAATAGGCTGCAATGTTATAGTGAAGCCAAAAAGATATTTTATAGCAGTAAATGCATCTTTATTCATTGGTGTGGAATGAAGGAGGTGACTTTGTAGGGTGGCAATTTTTATGGAAAAAGAAGGTTAATATGAACCAGTGGCATGATGTGGCTACAAAAAAAAAAAAAAAAGAATTCAAATTTAGGCTCTGGTAGTAGTATAGCATCCGTGTGTCACAAAAATTAATAGTACGCTGCTCTAATCAACCACATCTGTAGTATCGTGTCCATTTCTGGCTGTCACATTTAA